CTCTTTTGTGTGCATACACTTACAATCTAGTATTGTTTTTTTTCATTTTAATTCTTATGCAAATATGTTTTGACACTTTGGGTGTCTGGGTGGCTTAGTCAGTTAAGCGTCTGCCTTCGGCTCGGGTCATGATCCCAGGGTCCTGGGATCGAGTCCTGCATCAGGAGCCTGCTTCTCCCTCTCCCTCTGCCCCTCCCCCGTGCTTGTGCTCTCTCTCTCTCAAATACATAAATAAAAAATTTTTTTTATAAAAAGAGTGTGTACATGTTTGATGTGTATAACTTTCATATGCCATGAAGACCTAATATTAATAGTATATTCGCTTAAAATAATGTTAGGTCTTCAGAAAATTGTCATTAAATTTAATATGGAGTGGTTACATCTACAGGTGACCCTTGAACAATGCAGGGGTTAGGGACACCAATCCCCACAGTGTTGAAAATCATGTATCAGTTTGGCTTTCCTCCAAGCCTCTTAATAGCCTATTGTTGACTGGGACCCTTACCAATAACATGAAGAGTCGATTAATACATTATTTGTATGTTCTATGTATTATATGCTATATTCTTATAATAAAGAAAACTAGAGGAAAACATGTTATGAAGGAAATCATAAAGAAGAGAAAATACATTTACAATACTGTGCTGTTTTTATCGAAAAAAATCTGTGTACAAGTGGACCCAGGCAGTTTAAACCCATGTATTTCAAGGGCCAACTGTAGTAGAAATTAGTCTAATTTTCTCAATGCTAATAGGTATTTCAGAACAATTTATATAAATAGCACATAAATCCTTGAAAAAAAGTGTAACTTGCTGCAGGTCCAAGAAATCAGTACTAAAATGCAAAATTGTGTCCTGTGGCATGGCAGGGAGGCTCTGAGAAGTAAAATTATGCATATTACTCCTAAAGCCTTTTGAAAAACCGATAACAAATAGTATTAAATTCTAAGGATGATCACCTTTGTTGAAAATGATATAATTGTCATTACAAAAAAAACTGATTTTGGACTCTGTGCTCTAGTTAAGTACCAATTGCCCTGATGACATTTTTTTTTTTTTTAACTTGGGACACAGGTAGTTTGCCTCAGTGTCCAGAATCATTCTATAATTATTAAGAACTCCATTTAGTTTTCAAATCTATAACACACACAAAGAGAACCCTTCCAGATACCTAAGCCATGAAACTATTCCCTTTATCAACCACCCCTGGGTTACTGAATTTTTTCTTCTCTGCATAAAAGAACAAATCATGAATTGATCCCTTTGGGGTCTCCCACCGTAAGAGAATGATAGTGGTGAGGTTGTAAAGCAGATAAGAAAATAATGTTTTTATTAACAGTATGGGCTTTTCAAAGAAGCTCAAATCAATTTCAAATTCTGTTATAAACTCTGTTATATTAATTCCCTTAACACCTTTATGAAAAAGTATCAGTAAATATAATGAATTCCCAATATGCAATATAACTAGGGAGTAAAATCATAGGGCATAAAATAACATTCCCAAATGTACTATAAAATCTTAACTTCTTTAGAGAAATAATGCATACGAATCTGAAATATGAAAATGAAATTTTGAAGCAGGAACATATCCCGGATCGTGTAGTCTGGAAGAAGAACAATAACTCCAAACTTGTAAGAACAAAACCAAATCACACATCGCTCGTTTTGAACAATACGTCTCTAACCATCAGGTTTTATTCAGTACTGACTGTGTGCTCCACACGTGACCCAGAAATAAGACGTACTAGCAACGTAAGTGCCTGGCATTTTACAGCTTGTAAAATGCTTTCATCTGCATTACTCGACTTGACAATGAACCTGGATCCTCCTCGCTGCTCCCCCACGCGGGTGATCTTGTACACGTTCCTTTATCTCTGTGTTGCTCTGTCACCCCAAGTGTAACATGGCAATGGTAATAACATTCATCTCATGAGATTATTGAGATGACTAAAGCTATGGCCGGTCATCACGGTGCACAGAGCCGGTGACGCGTGGCTGAGGACCATTCTCACCGTGGTTCTTAGATCCTCCCGTCAAACATGCGAGTCAGGATGCATCTGCAAATTGAGGTGTGGCTCAGGTGGCCTTTTCTTAGTTCATGCTGATGGGGTCCGTGCTTGAAGTTAGCAAATGGGCACATCTGTGTTTGTGCCGACCAGCACAGCTGGAGAAGAGAAAACAAAGACTGGGAGGGGAGGTAACAGGCTTCCCAAAGTAAGCAACCCTTTGGAAGGATACTGAACCTTGTAGGGTCTGCAGCTACAGAGGGAGAAGAGAGCACATGCACAGTGATGAAGAGCACCGTGCCTGGGAGAACAGAGCCAATGGGGATGGGGATGCGGTGTGCGGGGCTGCAGGAGAGAGGAGCCATGAAGCCAACCTTCACAGAAACAAGCAGAGGAATTTTTATCCTATGTGGTTGAAAATCCTGAAAAAGAGCTATTTTGTAGCTGTGTTTAAACAAGGTATCAACATGCTTAGCGGGACATTTGTAGAATGAGAGAGTGAGGCTCTAAAGATACTTCATGAAGTAAAAAAAAAATCGTGTACAGTCTGAATCAGCCTGGGATTAACAGTGAGTTTAGGAAATACAGCCTGATCCACCACCATCCACCAAGAGAGTGGGAGATTTGTGTTTTCCTTCTCGTGCTCGCCAGGGCATATGCTTATGCAGTAAAACAGCCTGCCCCTCTAAATTTTAAAATTGTCTGAACTATTTAAATACTCTCTCTCTGTCTATCTTTAACTTAAGCACATGACCATCAAGACTCCACTTTATTTGTTGGAAACAGTGATAAAGGAAAAAGTGTGGAAAATAAAGGAAACAACAACAACAACAACAACAACACATGAGCAAGATTAGAGTCCAAAGAGAGGTGGGTGATGAGTGACAGGACTAACAGCATCCTTAGAAGAGAAGGAAGACAGGAGGCAGGAGGAGCGGCTGACACACTTTTATCCTCAGCCCGGAGAGGAAGGAATGACCAACACAGAGAAAGGGATGGTTTGTTAAAAGAAGATTAAAAAGGGTTTTCTCCATGGGAGTGAGAGACTACTGACACTGTTGGCAGACAAGGAAATTTGGAGAAAAGAAGACACCTGTCTAAGGGGAGGGTCCTAACGGTACAGAGAAGAGGTAAGGCTGGAGCATGCCAAGTTTGATTTTACAAAGAGATATTTAAGTGAAAGCTTTCTGTAAGTAGTTAAAAGACATGTGGATAAGATGCAAGAAAAGGATGAGATTCAGACATATATGTGATAGTCATTGAGACAAAAGCTTTGTTCAATCTTCACTGAAGCTGCGTATAAACCTCCAACAGTCAGACAAGTTAGGTGAACCAAAGTTTATATCTCAGAATTACAGTGTTTGTCATTATACTATGAAGGGTTTTCTGCTCCAGTTCCATTTTAATCATCTGAATCCAGTCTATTCCCAAACCATGTTATTTTAGATAAAATGGCAACTGGTAAGGGAGCACCAGTGACCCAGTATTGACATGCATAGGATCTATAAAATATCTCATGAGGATGCCATACTGATGGCAGGTCAATAGCAATTTTTTTTTCCCCATGAGGGAAAAGCAAGTAGGATAAGAAATCTGGATTTTCACCTGTCTTGCCTTATTTTACCTGTCACCACACGATTTCAGTGACACCACAAAAATCAGGAGCATTTTCTCTCCTTTCCGTTATACCCAGACGCTATAAATGGCTGGCCCTTTATCTCATCATGGTGTTGAATACAGATTCCTAATTAAGATGTCCAGATTAACATTTAAAACAGGGGACACCGTCAAACACTCTTAGAACTATCCACAGCGCTTATCAAGATGATCAGGATTAGAGTAGTTAAGAGTTTATCATTAAGGCAACACACCAAATACTCTCAGACTGAATTTCAATGCCGTGAAAAAAAAAATCCATGAAGATATTACATTTCATCAGGGTTTTATTTTGCCTACCTGTGCATCAAGGAATTCAATATATATATTTAAAGGTATTTGAAGTATTTGGTTTTTTTTTTTAAATATTTCCATTTGTATTTATTTGACAGAGAGAGAGAGCGAGAGAAGGAACACAAGCAGGGGGAGTGGGAGAGGGAGAAGCAGGCTTCCCCTGAGCAGGGAGCCCGATGTGGGGCTTGATCCCAGGACCCTGGGACCATGACCTGAGCTGAAGGCAGACGCTTAACTGATTGAGCCACCCAGGAGCCCCTATTTGAGGTATTTGTATACAAACACACCTACACACACACACAAAGCCACCCAGCTGACTGATTTTTAAATGACACCCAAGGAATGTATACAATCTCAGGAATTAAAAATCCTTATAACATGAATTTTCTATTTGATTAGGAATTTTACCTCCTGAATATTAACCAATACAGTTAAAATTACTGCTATAATATTAGGTTTTGTGTATCTTTAACTTAGGTATTATTTTGACCAAATAAAGTATAACTTGTCAGAAAAATAGTTAGGATTTTGATTCTTTATTATCAACTTAATTTTAATCAAGTAGTTGACTCAGTGGGGTTCTAAATACCTCCTGGGTAAAATATTGGAAAATTCCACTTAACTGTGATAAACATAGAGTGACATGTCTCAAGGCATGCAGAACCAAGATCTTACCTAAAATGAAATAAAGTAAGTGCTAAAATATAGTCAAGTATTCATGGAAGGAAGCAGCTTGAGACCCAAACTGTTCCTCAGTGTAACCCTAGAAATGTTTTGAAGATTAGAGACGCAGATTCAGCTTCTCATTTGTTGCTGAATTCAGTGTTAGTTTTCTGATGATTTGTTTTTGTCTTTGTCTGATCCACGCTGGAAAGAGTTCCCATTCCTATGCCTTATGCTTCTTTAGTGTCACCCTACCCCCCATCTCTCTGGAGCTCATAAGAAGTGACATGAAGCTTATGCTTCAAACATAACTTAAATGATTATATATATATATATATATATATACATATATATATATACATATCTGCTATTTGGAGGTTCATGTCAGTGCTTGGTAGTATGGTCTTGAAACTGGAATGGTCAGAGAAGATTAGAATGGTCTCTGCACAAGGATGACACCCAAATTTGGGAAGAGGTTCATGTTTTTGTCAAATATATTTTAATAAAAAATAAAGTACATATTCAATAGAATTTTAAAAATTGATTACAAAGCTTTAAAATGTGTGACTTTAATGTCACTATTTTAATTCATAATATAATTATATAAGATAAAATCATGATTAATTGTTGCTGTTAACATATATGTGACCAGAGTGCCCAGTACATGTATTCATTCAACAAGCAATTCTTGGGGGCACCTGGCTGGCTCAGTCAGTAGAGCATGAAACTCTTGATCTCAGGGTTGTGAGTTTGAACCCCACATTGGGTGTAGAGCCTATTTAAAAAAATAAATAATGATAATGATAATAATAAGCAATTTTTGAATGCCTGGTACATTCCAAGTGCTTTCCTAGGTATAAAAAAATATGGAAATGAGAGTGAATAGTCTAATTGTAAGAGCTCACACTGTAGCAAACAGATAAATATTGCACAGATCATTTCATATCTTCATTCTTGAAATAATCATCAAGTGATTGGTGTGAGCTAGGCAATTCTGAGCAGTTTGTTGTGTGGTGGGTAGGAAGGGGCTTTTCTGTGCACTCACATTCTGGTGAGGAGAAAGACCAATGTGCAGATTAGAGATAGAGATAGAATATACATATATATGAGTTCTTATATTGATGTATATTAATATATCCCATGATACGTCAGGTGATGTGTACTATAAGAAAAATAAAGTAGGGATAAGAGGATGGTGAAGGGTGCTGAGTGCCATCTTGTGTAGGATGTCACAGGGTGACTAGTGTGGCTAGAGCCCAGTGAGAGAGGGGGGGATGTTAGGGATGAGATCAGGGAGGATGAGAGGAGTGGACAGAAAGCCCTGTCTTTGTTTGGGTTGCTCTGGAGACCAAGACCGTTAACTCAGGTTGGGGGTAAGAGAAAGCTTTCAGGACAAGGTGATATCTGAACTGAGCTTTCGAGGATCAGTAGCTGTTCATATAAAAGGAAGGAGGAGTTCTGAAGAGTGTCCCGTAGGGAGCAAATAGCCTTGGCAGTCATGGAAACAGAAATCCCAGGGCACATTGCAGACCTGCAGGTATCATAGTCACCCTTCTCTGATGGCTATCAACATTAATCACAAGGGTAAACTGAATCATACATTCCCTCTGTCATACCTCTTGAAGAAGTGTGATACATGCAGGTGGGGCATGGGACAATAATTAAACAGACTAGCATGGACTTTCACTGAAAATGTTTCATTCAAATTAATTCATATCTTTGGAGTTGACCCCAATCTTTCTTCAAAGATTAAGGACTGACCCCACCTTACATATGTTTGTGGAAGCCATTTTGTACAGAAGAATTGGTAATTATTCCTCAAAGTCAGAGTGGTTAGAGAAGTAGATATGAGTGAATGAGTAAAAATTGAAGAGTTGGAAACATAAGTTAAAAAAAAATCCTAAGGTTTAAGATACCATATTACATAATTTGAGGTAAAACTTTGTCTTCTGTGTTTCTTTTTTTTCTCTCTCACTTTGCTATCACTTTGCCTCTTTGGATAACCAGTGATCTCTCTCCTGGCCCCACTTTCCAGAGCATTTCTCAGTTGGGAGGGCTTGGCTGACCACAGCATTCTCTTCTTGGACTGGGCAAGGCAGATGGTTGCCAAGTGCATTCTGGTAAAACACTTATTTGTACTTTCATCCACTCATTTATTCAAGCAATAGTTTTCCTCCAACTAAATACTGACAGTGACAGCCCCAAGTTCATGAATCTTGAGCAGAGGAAGTTTGAGTTTTCAGGAGGCAGAGGGGAAGGCAACTTGAATGACAATATTCAGTGACATGAAAATCATGATCTGGTAGAAATGTCACTTGTTCATTAACTCACCCATTTGTTGTATGATTTATTCATTCAATGTTATTAAGTGATCACCTGTTCTGAGTGAGGCACTGCACCAGGAATTGGGTATAAAGAAGAGGGCAAGGGCACTGCACATATCAGATGCTCACTTAATCAATCACAGGGCTTCCTGGTGCCACTTTGGCCAGTTCAGAGAAAATGACACTGGCATTAGACCACTGGCGATACAAGGCATTTGGGTGATGATCAGGTATGACTTTCATCCTCCTCTCCTGACATTGGAGGGGATAATATGTTGGTATGTTAAATAGCTACCCCAAACCATGGAAAATGGGAGGTCCTATTGCTTGGTTATTGTACCCTGGAGGACAGTCCTGGGCTTGAAGTCAAGGACTTGCCCCATGACGTGGAAGCTGCTTGATTCACCTGTCATCTTCACCTGTGCACCCACCCTTGTCTCTCATCTACAACTCTACAGTAGCCATCCACCTGGTCTCCCTGTTTCCCCAGTTTTCCTGGAAGAGTCTACTCTCCCAGCAGCACTGTCTGTGATGTTTCTAAAACTTAAGCGAGGTGAGACTGGTTCCCCCAATGAATATACCTCAGTGACTTACTACCCCACGCAGAATAAAATTCATGGCCAGTGGCCCCGTGTGACCTGCTACCTGACTCCCTAAACCCTCCCTCCTTCCTCCAGCCATTTCTTCCCTCTTCATGTTGCTCTGGCCTCACTGACCTCCTGGCTATCTCTGGAAAAGACTAGTCCTGTGCCGGCCATCCGCCTGGAGTGTTTGTCTCTTCTGGGCTCAGGCCCTCTCTGTGTACCAGACTCCGCAAAAGCTCGTTGAGCAGAGCGGCCTTCCTTGACCATCATAATGTACAAAAATATCCACCACCCTCTTCTAGCCTCTGATCCCTATATTCTTCTTCATTACTTGGCATATTTGTTCATCGGCACTCAGCCCACCAGAATATAAGCTGTGTAAGATTGGTGGTTCATCCACAGATTTCAGAACTACAACAAAAAGGTAGAAGGTACTCAATGAATATTTGTTAACACAACAAATGAATGTCCATAGGAATAAATTTGCTTGAAATCCCCGACTTCCAGTTGACTTTAGGTGAAAAGGAAGTAAATACTGCCCTCCCTACCTACATGGTAAACTTTCTGTGGTACCAAGAATTGTAGGCAGGAAAGCTCTTTGTAAAATCTCAGGTACCGTATAGTTATATATTTTATGGAGGTTTTAGGCAACATAACTGGCAGTAGTAATCAGCTTTCAAAACCCTCTTAGGATTTTGATTTCATCAGACTGAGTAGTTTAAATTCCTTTAAAATTCTAGTTTTATGATCCTTTGTTTATAGCTAGTATTTTTCTCCAAAGCATAGTAAGATTCTGATTTATTTTTTGTTTTCATTTTGAAGCAAAAATTGATGCGCTCACATATTTTCCCCAAATTGCATCAGGTGCTTCAATTACAAGAAATGTGTTTCAATCAGGCCAGGCCCTGGGAAGTGCTGGAGGCAGGGAAGCCGGTCGTGGTACCCTACTCCCCGGCTGCTTTGTGCGCAATCTCACCGAGTTTCTCCTCATCTCCGAGCAAACTCTCGCTTGTCAGGGACGACAACTTGCTGCTACATGAATTCGGGTTAATGTGAAGATGACAGTAAGCACCATCATCGTCATCGTTATTATCCTTATTTTCTTTTGCATTCACTTTAGAAGATGGGGCCAGGAAGAGGAGTCACTTCAGCCAGAGGACTGGATTTTAAACATAGTTTCAACAGAGTAAGAGCAAGCGGAGGGAAGCCCGTGTTTGTTAAATCTTTTTTCAAATCTCACCATACATACAACCGTGTCTAAAAATTCTGTATTGTATTTTATGCGCAATCTCCTACAGCTCAGAAGACACAGCTTACCATTTTAGATGGGGTGCCATGACACGTAGTCAGTTTGTACAGGGATGCTTTATTCCAGTCATGGTCATTTAGAAAGCATCCCAACTTTTTTTTTTTTTTTGCAGTGTTTTTAAAATGATAAATTTTTATTTTATGTATACAGAACAAAGTTTTCAATGTGTATAAAAATGGTTTATTTCTATCTTTTTCTCATGGTGTTAATCCTACCAGAGTGTTTATGACGGTATAGTTTTAGTTTCATTGTGTTGACCATGTTAATGAAACTAAAATAATTCAAAAACAAAAATACAAGAGGCTAAACAAAACCTGAAGGAAATAAAGGAAAGCAAACATCTTTCATTCCTTTCAAAGTATATTATTCCAAAAGGGATGATGTAGTTTTAGAGATTTTGCAAGTGTCTACTATTTTTTTCTTTTTAAAAATCTTTTTATCTAGATGAAATCTAAGGAAAGGGATCTTGCAGTTACAACTTTGTAGAAGTTAACAGAAAAGAGCCTGACATATCTATAACATTTTCATGAAGTTCATAATATTTAAAAAATCTAAACATTAAATCAAAGGGCTCTAAACCATAACTCAAGGAATCGACAGAGAATCTTAAAGTCTTTCTGACACCTCTTGCCCCAAATGACTGACCAATAATTATCTTATCCATTTTACATGTTGTAATGTGTGTCGACATTTAGAATATGCCCTTATATTCTGGTTATCACATCTCAGAAAGCATATAAAAAAAATTCAACGGTATGTTTATACCCGTGTGTGAGAGACGAGTGTTAAAGTTTACGTTGAGAAAATTTGCGAGACGATTGATTATTAAACATGGCCCTTATTGGTTAAATTACATAAACTTAAAATTAAATCCATTACTTCAAAACAGATGTACCTAAGGGAGTTGGGCTGCATTGCTGTCCAGTGATGTTATCCTGAAAGCTAGAAACTGCCCAACATGACGTATTTAGACCAGGCAGACTGGGGATGGTCTACATCAGGCTCTGCCCCTCTCATAACTCATGGTTAAACATTTACCAGCACACCACTGACTACAAGAGACTTACAGAAGCCTCCCATTCCACTTTCGAGGACCAAACCCATGGGTTTCATTTTTATAGAGCTTTCTCCAACCACCCCACCACAAAGAGAGTCAATGATTTTTTTTTCCCCTTCTTTATTCTTCTACCTCCTTGTAAATCTATTACAACACATATCGTGTTTTACTTTACTTATTTACTTAATGTTTATTACTCTTTCCCTCTAGAGA